GGAAACCCAGTCTGAGATGTCCAACAAGCATTTGGAGATGCTAGTACATCTGTATTCAAAATCTGTTGCTCTCTTTTTTGCTTCTTTAGAGAAACTTACCACCATGAACTTATTTTTTCTATTCTGCTATTTATTTCTGCTGCAAAAGCTATAAACTCTGACATTTGCTCCCTTCTAATGTCTCATGGCTTTCATTTCTCTTTTGAACCATTCTAGAATATCATTTTTAATATAATCAATTTTGTTTCGGGCTTACATTATTTGGTAATCAACATGCTCAGTGCATCTAGACTATTTTTTTTCATTTAAAATAAATTTTTAGTTTTTTTTTACATCATTCGAATTTCTTGCAATAGTCTTCTCTCCCTTTCCAAAGAGTTATCTCATATAAGAAAAAACAATTTTAATTTTAAAAAAGAGGGGGAAAATCACCAAAAAATGGACAGTACATTGAAAAAGTCTGAATATTTATGCCTCCCATATTTGACTTTTAAAATCCCTCTTGAGCTCTTCCAAGAAGGCTTTTTGGGCTTCAGATCAGTTCATATTCCCTTTTGAGATTTCAGATGTGGGTTTGTTGACAATGTTGTCCTCTTCTGAATTTCTACCTTGACCTTCCCTGTCCCCATAATAAGAATCTATGGTCATTGTATGTTTCTTTTTGCTCATGGTGTTTGCTTATTTCCTGACTTTTAAAAAAATTGAGCTCTTCCGCTGGAGAGCAGGGGGCACTGATTCAAGCTTCTTGTGCTGGGAGCCCGCAGCCTGGTCACTGGCTTTGTGTGCTGGGGTCTCAGATGCTGGCAGTTGGAGGCTGTAAGGTTCTGGCAGCTTACCTGGTGATGGGCTGGAATCAGCAACACTGGAACTCTAGGGGTAGGGGTAGGGAGTCTGGCCCCTGCAGGACACCTGCTCACCCAGGCCTTGCACAGGGATGTTTCACTGCTGCAGGATGTCTCTCAGCCTGGAGCTTTACCTCTTGGAGTTGTGCTTCCCAGAGTTTTGCTGAGGTACTGGGAGATGTGGCTGCCGGAGAACACTATGGCACGTGTTGGTTTTCTGAGCTGGTTTCCACTGGTTTCCCAGCCTGTACTGAGGCACTCAGGGGTCCTGGTGTTGGTGTTGGCTTGCTCCACCGCCTGGGGTTCAGGATCTCCTCCTGGTATGCTGAGGTGGGGCTTTCCACTAGCTTGCTGGGACGCCTCATGTTCTGTACTGCTCCCCCTCCCTCAGGGCAAGAGGGGCCTTATCCATTAATCCCCTAAGCTTCCTGGGCTACAAGACTGTCTTTCTGCTGCTTCAGCTGTTCTAGGGTTTTTCTTGGGGCAATTTTTTTCTGGCCTTTCAGAGGTTAACAAGGGAAGGTATGAGTGACTTACTTCTTACTCTGCCATCTTGGCTCCCCAGTCTGAATATTTATGAAATGTTCCAGACCTGTGGACCTCCCACCTCTATCAAGGAGTGGGCTATGAGTTTCTTCTCAATTTCTCTTCTTTGGGGGCCATGCTTATTTTTTGTAATTTTGCAACATTCACTTTAGACTGTTTTGTGGTTGTTGTTTCCATTTACATTACTGTAGTCATCATGTATATTGTTTTCTTGGATCTGATTATTTCACCAGGCATCAAATCATGTAAAACTTTTCATGCTCTATACTCATCATACGCATCTTTTTTACGGCACAGTAATACTTCATTGGGGCAGCTAGGTGGTGCTGCAGTGGATAGAGTGCCAGGCCTGGAATCAGGAAGACTCCTCCTCCTCAGTTAAAATCTGATCTCAGACACTTCCTAGCTGTGTGACCCTGGGCAAGTCACTTAACCCTGTTTGCCTCAGTTTCCTCATTGGTAAAATGAGCTAGAGAAAGAAATGGCAAACCACTCGAATATCTTTGCCAAGAAAACCCCGACAGAAGTCACAAAAATTCAGACATGACTGAAAAATACTTCGTAACATTCTCGTTACCACAGTTTATATAGCCATTCCCCAACTGATGGGCATCAATTTTGTCTCCAATTCTTTGATACCACAAAGAATGCTGCTGTAAATATTTTGGTGTATATGGTAACTTTGTTCTTATCAATCTTATTCTTAAGGTATGAGCCTGGTAATGGAATCTCTGAGTCAAAAGGTGCGGTCATTTTAATCACTTTATTTGCATAATCTCAAAATGCTTTCCAAAACAATTATACTGATTTATAGCCTCACCAACAATGTTCTAGTGATGCCCATCTTCCCATAACTACTCCACAACATTAGCTATTCCCATCTTTTGTTCAGGGAGGATGAGCACCACTGGTGTGAGGGTTTGCTAAATCCTTTTCATGGCTGCTCATCCACCCTTGGTGTCCACCTTCACTCAACTCTCACCTATGGCTCCAAGAAGCTGGAGCATGCGCAGCAGCCACACCCCAGTAAAACCATCTCAGCAGATGGGCTAAACCAGGTTGAGGGTAACCAACGGGCCCCAAACCTGCTGGTGAGATAGGGGAGTGTCTACGTTAAGTGTGTGAAAACTTCCCCTGGCAGAATGGGTGGAGTAGAACAATTTGTTCCAATGGCAACAAAGTGACTAAAGCAGGAGCTGTGGAATGCTTAGAGCTGGCCAGGCATCAAAGATGCCAAGGTCATCCACTGCCTCCCAGGCCATCACCAATCATCCTGACTTTTGTTCTACCACTGGACTTTGATGACTCAAGAAGACAGAGTGAGGCTGACAACTTTGTTCAACTCTGCCTCACTTAAATCGAATTCACATGCGAGGTGAGACATCACCTGTGATATCATTGGACCTCTTAGAGAATGAAGGACAAACAACAACTTAATTTCCATATTCCTTATCAGCTTGCATCCTACATTTTAAATTGAATTTTCTTCCTCTTGAAATGTGACTCTTCAGTCTTTTTTTCCTTTATATTTCCCTGTCACTCACTCTTTGAGTCCCCCTCACCTTTAATGGTCAGTATAATCCTTGGGGAACAATTGTTTCAGCTTCCTCCCTTGTTAGGACATTCACTTTTCATAGGTCTTGGTTCTTGCCCTAAGTATCTTTTGGGAGGGACAGGATTGACCCCAGCTAAATTTCAGTCATCTTTCATTCAGGCCCAGTGTAACCACTCACACCTGCCTCCTGCCCTACTTCCTTTTCTAGTCGGGCTAAATCAGATTTTTTCAGAGTTGGAGTTGACCAGAGTGGGTATTCTAAGCAGGGTCTCTGCAGCATTGGGATTCCCTAACCTAAGCACCACCTCAGGCAATAGGAAGCCTGATTTCTCCCACCCCTCCTCATGTGCTCATATGGCTGGGCTGAATCAAAGTTTGCTGCTTCTTGCAATGGGGCAGTGGACAAGTAAAAGGTGAAATGTGCCTCCAAAGTTTCTGGGAATCCCTGTTGTATCCCACAGGTACGAGCCTGCGGAATGGTGTGTACTTCTCTGACAGAGCATGGAAGCCAGTGAGAAAGAGGTGCTAAGAGAGCACCTGAAGGATTAGCATTCTCTAGTTTTTGGGTTGTTTTTTTTTGTTTTGTTTTGTTTTTGCTGAGGCAATTGGGGTTAAGTGACTTGCCCAGGGTCACACAGCTAGTAAGTGTCAAGCGTTTGGTCTGAGGCCGGATTTGAACTCAGGTCCTCCTGACTTCAGGGCCGGTGCTCTATCTACTGCGCCACCTAGCTGCCCCCATTCTCTAGTTTTAACTCATAAGGTTATTACCTTGTTTTCTTGACTGTCAATTCAGCTCTAATTGCTTTCCTTCTGGATTACAATCCCTCTTTTGGGGGAGTTTTTGAGAATGAAGAAAGACTGAAGAAATTGTCTAGTTTGGCATCTTAATAGACACATCTAGAGGCTGTTTCTTAATACTGGTATTTAATACTTTCAGGTCTTTAAAGGTATACCCCCTGAAATCAGAAATCAAGTCTACAAAGTTCTCTTTATACAGCACCACAAGCAATCAGGCACTAAACAAACATTTAAATGACAAAGCTGAATGAATTATTTTTCTATATTTAAGTCTGAACTCTATGAATGTAGGATCCATTTAGTTTATTACCTAGCCCCTTTCAAGGTGCTTTTCATACATTCTGATTAACAAATAATATAGAAATAATTTCTGCCTTACACAATCTGGCTCCAGCCTACCTTTCCAGGCTTAATGCACAATATATATGCCATACAATCTAGGCAAACTGGCCCAACTGCTATTTTTCATATGTGATATCCCATCTCCCATCTCCATGCCTTTGCACAGGCTATTCTGAAGTCTAGAATGCTCTACCTTCTTACCTCGGACTTGTCAAAATCCTAGCTTCCTTCAAGGCTCAAGTGAAGTGCTGCCATGTACAGGAGGCCTATTCAGACCTCTTCTACCACATTTCCAGTGTACCACCCCCCCAAAAAAATTTACTTTATGTGTGTGTGTATATACATATATATACACACACATACATATATATACATATATATATAGTATTATCTTATCTGTGTTCAGATTGTTTTATCCCAGTAGAACACAAGATACTTGAAGGCAAAGACTTTTAAATTTCTGTCTTTGTATTCCCTAGTACAGTGTCCAGCACAGAGTGGAAAGTGATGCTTGCTTGATGAATGTGTGAATCAACAAATACATTTTCCCTAACGTCTGGGGTACAGTTAGGGGAACAGAAGATAGGAAACCAAGAGCAAAGACTGTATGCTACTAAGTATATGGAGAGACAAAAAGAATCATTAAAAAATTAAATGACCTAAACCAGCAACACGCTGAATGTTTTGTACATTTGAGAAAGAAATTAGTGAAGATTGGTAAGAGGTGATACATAGATAAAAACAAGCAAATATAAAAAGCAAGTGAAGATATAAGAAAAGAAAGAAGTGGGAAAATTATGGTGCTGTTCATATGTGTGTCCTTTAGGAAACCTGGAAGTAGTTGTTACTCCATATTCTCTGCATAAATTTTGCCTAAATATCTAGAGCATAAACAAATGAAAAAATGATGTCCTTACCTTTCCAAACGATCCCTGACCAAGAACCTTGAGTAACTCAAATTGAGCAGGATCTGCTTTCTCACATCCTTCTTTTACGTGGTGGGTAATAGGAATTTCTTTAATACTTTCTTCATCCTGCTAAAAGAAATGTTAAACACAACTTCAGTTACAATATTCTATTATGTTTCTTATATAAGAAGAAAGATTAAGCCCCAACCTCCACACACACCAAGTTCATTTCTGTCACATTACTAACTTGTCCAAATTTCCATGAGATCATAGGAATCAAAATATAACAAGATCCAGGAACCAGACATAATTGCCTGATCTACAGATATGATACTGACTTATGTCGTCCCTCTAAACCCCCTCCTCAATGCCTCACATCTTTTCCTATTGATGGTCTCATGAAGGTACAGCATATATTTATGTTTCAATGTGCCTTTTTACTGATTTGGCATACGGAAAAGAGCAATAAGTAAGAGCAGCAGTTGAGTCTCCTGTAGAGTCCCTAGGAAGTGTGATGTTGACTAGGTTAGAAGTAAGCCTGTAACAATACTTAGTGAATGGAAGTAACTGCATGTTAGGAGAATTGATAAATATTTTAAACCTCAAACTTTTTTTTTAAAAAAAATTAAAACAATCAACTCAATTGGTGACAAGAGAAGGTAAAACAATAGTATAGAGCAGAAGTATCAAACATGTTACCTGTGAGCCACAACACTCCCCAATGTGGCCCAGATTATGATGTAATTGACTAAATAGATAATACAGTAGAATGTAGATAATGTTAATATGTGGTTTTCTAAGTAAACATGTGGCTCATATGGTTTTTACCCCCCCCCCCAATTTCTATCTCAGTTTGACACCACTGGTATAGAGAACAAAGATCTGTATACACCTAGCTAGTTCCAAACTAAGGCCTTATTTCTCATGAAGCTGGGTAAATAAATTCTCCAGTTTCTTTTAGCTGGGTTAAGGCATAATGGATGGCTCTCCAGGGAATGTTGTGCATGAGAAACAGCAAGGAGGCCACTATGACTGAGCTACAGAATGCATGGTAGAGGGAAATATGTAAGAAGATTGGAGAAGTAGGAAGGCTGTAAATAACATTAACTTTAACTGTCCCTTCCAGATCCAACACTGAGATACTGATTCTCTGTTCTTATACAATGAGTTTGCTTAAAGCAAGGCATTTGGTTCACAAAATATTATAAGGTATTTGGTTAGAAATTTGGTCAGAGATTTCCTATGTAGATAGAGCTCAGAGTAAAGTATCATAACTTGAGCTTTGCAGCCCAACTAACCCTTCTAGGGCTTCACTAAAACATATCTAGAAAAGTTTAGATTAATTGCCCCTGATATTTACTAGCAGTGCAACTATGGTCAAGTCACTTAACCTAAGCCTCTGTTTCTTCATCTGTAAAATGAGAAGGTTGGATTCAATGACCTCTAAGGTCCTCTCTGTCCAGCCTTAAATCTATGATCATGTTATTCTAATTAGGCAGACTGTACAAAGGCAGAGAGTTTACCTACCCAGTTTTCAGACAAACATTCTGCATGCAGAAAATAGACTATCCTTTCCATCTTCCAGGTAGGGAACCTCAGTCTTTTTTGAAAATTTTAATATTTTATTTTTTCCCAGTTACATGTAAAAGCTATTTTAACATTAGTTTTTTTTTTAAATTTTGATTTCCAAATTCTCTCCCTCCTTGCCCCCTCATTGAGAAGGCAAGTAATTTGATATAGGTTATACATGTACAGTGATACAAAACACATTTCCCTATTATTCATGTTGCAAAAGAAAACAGACCAAAAAAAACTCCAAGAAAAATAAGAGAATTTTTTTAAAAGCATGCTTCGATCCGCATTCAGTCTCTATCAGTTCTTTCAATGGAGGTGGAAAGCATTTTTCACCATAAGTCCTTCAGAATTGTCTTGGATCACTGTACTGCTGAAAATTGCCAAGCTAATTATTATACAATATTGTTGTTCCTGTGTACAATGTTCTCCTGGTTCTGTTTGTTTCATTTTGTATCCATTCATGTAAGTCTTTCCAGGTTTTTCTGAGAGCATCCTGCTTATCATTTCTTACAGCACAATAGTACTGCATCACAATCATATCCCACAACTTGTTCAGTTATACCACTATTGATGGGCATCCCCTCAATTTCCAATTCTTTGCCACCAGAAAAAGAGCTGCTATAAATATTTTTGTACATTTAGGTCTTTTTTCCTTTATATTTTTTATCTTTGAGGGATAAAGACCCAGTAGTGGTATTTCTGGGTCAAAGGGTATGCATGGTTTTATAGCCTTTGGGGCATAGTTCCAAATTACCCTCCAAAACAACTGAATCAGTTTACAACTCCACCAACAGTGCATTAGTGTCTCAATTTTCCCACATCCCCTCCAACATTTGTCATTTTCCTTTTCTGTCATATTAGCCAATCTTATAGGTGTGGGATGGTACCTCAGAGTTGTTTTCATTTGCATTTCTCTAATCAATAGTGATTTGGAGCACTTTTTTCATATGACTGTAGATAGCTTTGATTATTGTCTGAAAATTGCCTGTTCATATCCTTTGACCATTTATCTATTGGAAGATGACTTATATTCTTATAAACTTGACTCAATTCTCTATATATTTGAGAAATGAGGAAGGCCTTTATCAGAGAAACTTGCTGTAAAATTTTTTTCACATTTATGATTACTATGTATTTCCTTCCATCCTACCGCCCCCATTAATCCTACTCTCTCCCTTCATTCTCTGTCCATCTTCAAAAGTGTTTTGCTTCTACTGTCTCCTCAAATCTGTCTTCCCTTTTATCATCCCACTTTCTCTGATACTCTTCCCCTCCTACTTTCCTGTAGGGTGAGACAGTTCTCTATACCCAACTGAGCATGTATGTTATTCCCTCTTTGAGCCAATTCCAGTGAAAGTAACATTCAAATGCTACCCTCCACTGTAAAGGCTCTTTCACAACTCTTTTATGTGAGATAATGTACCCCATTCTACTTCTCCCTTCCCCTTTCTCCCAATACATTCCTCTTTCTCACCCCTTAATTTTTTTAGACCCCATAAAATCAGAGTAAACACACCTATGCCCACTATCTATGTATAGTCCTTCTAACTGTCCTAATAATGATAAAGTTCTCAGGAGTTACAAGTATCATTTTCCCATGTAGGAATGCAAACAGTTTAACCTTACTGAATCCCTTTATCATTTCTCTTTCCTGTTTACCTTTTTATTCTTCTCTTGAGTCTTGTGTCTGAAAGTCAAATTTTCTATTCTGGCCTTTTCATCAAGAATGCTTGAAAATCCTTTATGTCACTGAATATCCATTTTTCTCCCCTGAAGTTTTGCTTGGTTGTAATCTTAGCTGCTTTGCCCTCCAGAATATCATATTCCAAGCCCTCCAATCGTTTAATGTGGAAGCTGCTAAATCTTGTATTATCCTGACTGTGGATCCATGATATTTAAACTGTTTCTTTCGGGTTGCTCCTTACCCTCAGGGAACTTACATTCTATTAGGGCGAAGCAACATGTATATACAAAACATATACAAAGCAATTTTGATGTCAGGGAGAGGTGTGCCTCCTAGGACTGCTGCTGTCTTGCTGGGGCATTGACTGCACAGTATTGTGGCTCCACTCTCACCCCACTGTGACAGACCTTTCCTGCCAACCTTCTAAGTTGTCTTGGGCTGGAAAATTGTTTTACCTCATCCTTTTGTGGGTTTTGCTGCTCCAGAATTCATTTAGAGGCATTAAAGTTGTTTGGAGGGGAATTTGTCTCCACTGTCTTTGGGACTCCTCCTCTTTCTCTCTCTCATCTCACCTGGACACAAATCTTATCATCTCTCACAATATATTCCCTTCTCTCTACTCACACAGCCATCACTGTTGTGGTGTAGATCCATGGTGTCAAATTCAAACAGAAACAGGGCTACTAAATCGAACATAATGAACTCTGTGCTAAGCACAGGGACTTAGAAAATCGCATATTAACATTATCTATGCTCTATTGTATTTTTTACTTATTTTGTTAAATATTTCCCAATTTCTGCTGCACTGTGGAATGTTGTAGGCTGTCAGTCTCAGGTTTGACAACTCTGCTGTGGTTTATGGCAGTAGCCTCCTAGTTGGTCTCCCTGCATTTAAGTTATACCCTCTTCAATCCATCCTACAGAGAGCTTCCAAAATGAGAATCACAAAGCGCAGGTCAGACCTGGCTAAAGAAGCTTCAGTGGTTCCTACTGCTTCTAGGATAAGATATCAATTTAGACTGATATTCAAAGCTTTGTACAATATTACACAAACCTCTTTCCAGGCTGATTTCAGATCACTCCTTCTCATTCACTTTATGTTTCAACCAAATTGTTCTACTTGTTCCCTATAAATGGAATTCCAACTTGCACTTCTTTGCCCGTGCCTAGGGTGTCTCCCATTCCTAGAATGTTCACTCTCCTAATATTTATCTCTTATAATCTATCCCTACTTTCAGAACTATGCTCAAAGGCCTCCTACTCAAAAGGAGTAGACCTCCCTTGTTCCCTCCAGTTGTTAAGTGCATACCTCTCCCTGACAACAAAATTACTTTGTATATATTTTGTATCACCTATTTATGCACATGTTGCTTTGCCCCAGTAGAATACAAGTTCCCTGAGGGTAAGAATTGTTTTGTTTTTTCCAAAGTCTAGCACAGTACTCGGTACACAGGAAGTATTTAATGAACATTTGTTGAATTAAAAATTTAAAAATATGTTCTTACAAAATTGATTGACCTAAGATATGAAGGGAATCAGTCAAAAGCAAGGGGAAAAAATTTTTCTATCAAATTCTGATAAGGGTTTGGTAGCCAAGAGATATACATATATACATATATATACATATATATGTATATATGTATAACCAAAAGCCATTCCTCAATAGATAAGTGGTTAAAGGATATAAACAAATGGGTCTCAAAAGAACTGCAAATTATTCATAACCATATGAAACAATGCTCCAAATTACTAATAATAAGAGAAATGCAACTCAAAAAAATCCTAAGGAGTTGCCTTACATACATAAATTGGCAAGGCTGACAAAAGATGGGAAGAGTCAATGTTGGTGAAGTTGTGGCAAGACAGAGAC